ACTTTTCATATTTCAAGGCATCTGCACCAAAGGAACCAAGAGAAGAAATGGATACATATTTCCATTATGAAACAGCACAGCTTTGAAGCTCTTGGATGAACTGTTGATGAAGAGGCACCATTCATTGGGGTTACAGGTTATTTCAATTGCCTTGAGTTGTCCAGTCTCATTGTGAAAGCATGACGGTGACGAGTGAAAATCTTTAAAAACAATGGTGACACTTTCTCTGACCTGTGGACTTGCACATCCTATTCTGAATTGCTGATCTCTTCTGAAGAGTGGCACTGGGATGATGGGTTAACAGAAGGTCTGAATATATGACAAGCAGGCACATTCTTGCCAGCTTGATGTTTAGAAAGGTCCACCATACAAAAGAATTGATTCAGTGGTCAGTTGGTTCCCTCCAAATTCATGGAATTGCAAATTTTATGGCTCTATTTTCCCCTCTGTGCAGCAAAGTTTGAAGGGAATAATAGTCATTTCCTTTGTTTTCTAGACAGAAGCAGTTAGGAAAGAACACTTACTGACCAAAGACAAAAAATGTCAAAATTTTGTTACACAGTGTAATGGGTGTCAACATTTCAACAATATCAGACCATCTCAAGAAAATTGGCAAGGAGAAAAAACTTGATAAATGGGTTCTGCATGAACTCAGTGAAAGAATTTGATGTTTTGAAGTGAGTTTGATGTTGTATTTGTGAAATTCAAATGGTCCATTTCTTGATCATATAGTGATTTGGGATGAGAAATGGATTCTTTATGACAATAGTAAATGATTGGCTCAATGGCTTGATCATGACAAAGGACACAAGCACTTTCAAAAATAGAAATTGTATTATGTGCTTGGAGAGTGACCATGGTTTTATGACAATCAACAGTAAACTTGAGATGTGAGTTTCAAAGTAGCCATTTACTGTTGTGAAGTAGGGAAAAAGAAAGTAAATAAAAACTTTCAGGATCATATTCTACTCAGTCATAGCCTTATATAGTTAGACTGTATTCTAGATTATGGCAGCCACAAACTATTAAAATGTAGAGAGGGATAACAAAAGTTATAATCATAGGTAGAGTTGTAATCGGTAGAGTTGTGGGTCAAGTTGTACTTAGCAACTACCTCCTTGTTGATAACAGCATTAAAAAGTTTGCTAAGACACTAAGGGGATTAATAGGGTGATATTATTATAGGGATGAATGCATACTAGCATTCTTGAAAACAGAGCATACATTTGACACATTTCACAGACTTGGAAAACATTTCTACTTCAGGCAGCAATTTTGCCAAGACGGGAGAATGTCTTTGGGTTATGGTTCTTAAGAACTACAATGGGGATTTTATTCAGACCAGTAGACTTTGTAGAGTCAAGGTTTTTAAGGAGTCTGGAAGCTTCTTGAACTGAGATAGTGAGGTCACAAAGTTTGTCCTTTAAGAAATTTTCTAGAACTTACAGGAACCAAGTCTTTTGTTGTCAATTATAGTTTGGACTGACTGCATAACAGATCTTAACATTCTCATGGCATGAATCTTGCTATATTGATCATGTTAAGAGAGAGGGTATATAAAGCTCGTTATGAAAATAATGGCTACTATTTTATGTTGTCTCAATATCAAAGGTAGAACCTTTACACCAATAACTCATAATATTTGTCACCTTGTTAAAAATAGCAGTCTATCAAAATGGCATCTGACATGAAAGTGTATACTGAATGCCTTCATGTGAAAAAAATGCAATCCTCATGGACATTGATTGATGCTTGCTGAACTTTTATGGAGATCAAAGAGGGGATATGAGCACAGTTAGGAAATGAGTAATGCATTTCAGCAGGACTAACAACAGTTACCAGTGACTATGTGCAAAAATTAATGTTTTTTTAGCTGAAAACTTGCTATATCCAACAATGTTATTGTATTTCCTGTATTTATTGTCATTTTTGTAGAAAAAATAGAAGCATTATTTTCAGAAAATTCACCATATTCATATATTGCATACAAATTTTTGCTGTGTTGTGTTGCAGTGAGTCATATCATGTAGCTTGTTGATCAATTCAGCTATATTTAATACTTTCTGTATTTCTGTGTTGTTGATCAATATTTTTTGTAGATCTTTTTGTTTCATGCAGGTTTTAAGTATTTTTATTTATTCAAATGTTATTTTTAGTGAATACTCATGTTTGAAATAGATGCCCCATTTCTTTGGGGTTTTTTTTGTCAGATTAAAAATAAATCCATTCTTTGTTTTTAAGTATATATCATGTTCATCCAGCATGGGTTTGCATTTCACCAGATAATCCAAAATTTTCTTTTACATGCAAAAGCATTATTATAACTTTGGAAAAATAAGCAAAAATTATGTTTCTTTTACAAGCACAATATCTAAAAAATGACCAGGTTATTTATATATGTATCTACACTTCAAAATGAAGTCCATTCTTCGTGGTGGGTGTTTCTCTAAGCAATACCTTTCCTTCAGGAAGGGGCTAGGTTTAGTTCCGGGAAATTGAGATGTCTATAAAATGGCAAGTGCTGATTTAGGGGTGGACTGTTTTTGGTTTCACTTTAAACTCAGCCTTGAGTAACATTCCATTCATATACACATTAATTTTAAATATTTTTGCTTCCTGATAATTTTGCATAAGATAAAAGTGTAGTATCTGTGCATGCAATGAAAAGACTTAAAACACACAATATTTAACCATTAACTGCCTACCTATTTTTTTTTTATATGACAATAAAATTGGTAAGAAAATGTGAATGATGAAAAGTAGAAGGTAAATAAGAAAAGTAGAGAAAATGAAAAGGAAAGCAGATGAAAGGGAAACAGGAAAAGATGGAGAAAGATAGAAGATTACTATCTTAAGTTTTATTTCTCATTGATCTTTTCAATTGGATGTAGCTTTATTTTTTAAGCATAACACATGACACAGAAGATAGGTATACAACACAAAATAGTATTAATATATTTCAAATATTTATTTTTTAAAAATCTAAGGTCATTGAAAGTGTTGAAGATTATTTTTAAAATTTTGGTTCTCAGTAATTTGGGAGAAAGGATGAAGGTAATAAAATAATTACTGATACCTGTACCTTGCCACCCTGTGTGCAAAATTCCTTGACCAAGGAATGAAGGTGTTGAAAGTGAAGGAAAGGGAAAGAAAAATAGAATTGTTTTTTTTTTTACTACAATAAATTGTTACATGATTTTTTAACCAATGGCCACTCAATCTGATTAAAATTTGAAATTCTTGTGTTGCTCGCCAAAATGTTTTTGCTAAATCAGAGCCTTTTGGCTATAAAAATCTCTGCAATACATCTATCAAAGGGTGTGGGAAACATGATGCCTTCCAAAACACTGAAAATCTGAATGAGTGTAGACTGAAAGAAGTGGCCACAAAACCTACTCTTCAACAAAGTCTTGACAACCAAATTGTCGTTTTCATGACAGAATTAAGTCTTATTTTCACTGACTATTTTAATAAAATAGTCGTTTCCATGACAGAGAACAAGTACTGTTAAGTTCAAGACTGAAATCACAAATGGATTCTGTCATGAACTTCAATAGCTCACATCAAATCACAAGAACTATTAAGAACATTCACTTTTTATACTGTCAAGGTAAATCTACCCTTTCAACTGGATTCAGTCTCACTGGAACCCTTTTTATAATTTTTCCTTGTAATTTGCATTGTTTTGTATACCCTGCCATTTTTCTTGTGATATTTCATGTTGATTGATTTTGATTGTAAACTTGATCTTTTTCTGACAAATACCATTCAGCCTTATTTTAGACAAAAATAAGTTACTTTGTCCAGAAATTTATTAACTCTTTTTTCGGGTGCACAAACCACCAATGCATCCCTAATATTTAGTAAAATTTTATTTTAATAAAACTGTTTTGGTTTTATCTCATAAATTTATTTCTCATCATTTTTTCACATTGTGCCTTGTTCTCGCTTGCTCTCCATTTTCCCTCTAAATCTCTTTTAAGCTGAATACACAAAGTGACATTTTAATTAATATTTTTGTTTATACGCTATTTATTTATTTATTTTTTTCATAAGTAAATGCTCTGTTTAAACAATATTAAGAACATTTACGGGCCTGAATGTCCGAGAAAATCTCAAAGAAAATTTGTGTACACTGACAGTAATCGAACCTGTATCCTACACGGAACCGTCATATAGCCAGTTTAGATTCCTGTCGGAAGACACATATTTTCTCGGACATTCAGGCCAGTAAATGTTGTTGTTAATTTAATACTGTTTAGTTTATTATAAACAGAGCATTTAGTTTGTAAAAAACATATAAACCAAAAATAAAATATATTAAAAAAATAATTGCCGGACTTAATTAGTTTTTTTTTCTTTTTTAAAAGTGCTTAGCTTACGTTTGTTATTTATAACTTATTATTAATACTGAATTCTGTAAATGTGTTTCTTAGTTTTTTCGAAGTATTTAATTTCTTTAAAGCACTAAATGCAACATCAATTTTTAAACGAAATACTGTCACTGTGCGTACACAGAATGGCTCGGAAATCTATAACTTGTAACTTTGAAAATTAATTTACGTATTTATTTTTAAGAAGTTATAATACAAAAAAAAAACAAAAAACAAAAACAAGCACTTTCTTTATATGATGTTGAATAATTTTTCATGTTTACGTAGTGAACTTAGCCAAACAAGAATCAGAGATATTTTTAACAACGTGCAGTCATATGATGAACATCGCTAAAAAAAAAAAAAAAAAAAGGTTGAAATACGATTCTTAATGTGTCAAAAGATGCGAAGTATTATTAGTAATCGTAGTAGTAACGTTTCATTTACACTAGATATTATTTTACTGCTCAGTGTTGTGTTCAGTAAATTGAAGCACGTTCATTATTTGTAAATATTTGTTGTTGTTGTCTTTTTTTTTTTTGTTTTTTTTATAGCATCAGTTGCGTCCACCGTTCCTATGAATTATTTAAAGGTGAAATAAATAAAAATAATTCGAAAAAAACTTACCGACAGATCTTGGCGGATCGTGGCGTACTGTTCTCGAATATAAAATTGCGATCGTTCTTCTAACGGAATAAATGGTTCATCAGGATATTTTTCGCGATATTTTTCCAAAAAATAGGATTCAAAGTCGCACAAAACCATGTCCATGTCAACGAGCACCACAAGTCTACGTTGATGCTGAGCTTGAGAGGTTAAAGTCTTTGTTGTAGGTTCTGTAACACTAGCCATACGAGGCATTATTGCAAGAAATATTCTGTGGTGTTATTCTTCTTGAAATGAATTAATTAGTCGCTCACACTTCGGAGGAGTAACTGACTTAGTCTACAAAAATAAACTTTATATTTGATATGGGCGATTAACTTAGCATACTAAACGCGAGACTTAACTTTTTATATCTGAAGTGATTTTTAAAAGAACACGTTTAACTTTTTTTTCGGTACGTTTATACTTCCTTTTTTTTTTTTTTTAACATGAAATTATTATTGTTATTTGAACTTAAAACCTTTTGTTAATTAAAATATCTCCTCACGAAAATATTCCGGTACAAATAAAACAGGAAGAAAAGAACAAGCAAATTTCGTTTTTGCTATCGCCTTTTAGTTTGTGTTGTTGTTGTTGTTTTTTTTGTTTTTTTCACAATCAATACGCTAAAATTTACGCACCCGTTTGCAAAAAGAAAAAAAAAAACTTGTGTAGGGGGGATAACTCTAAGATCATTATTTTGTACTAGCAAGGATACCCAGGGATGTCCAGAAAAATATAACTACAAATATTTTCTTTAAAATATTCCTTCTTACACAATATAATAAAACATATTTACACTATTTACACATTAAAAAAATAAATACTATTTTAATACACAAAACAAAACGAATTATGCAGTCCCTGGGTGCCAGTATGAAAAGTTTGTTTTGGGATTCAATCTTAGAAAAGTATGACAAAGTCAAAACCAGTAATTTTGAGAGATCGTGCTTCTGTCTTGTTGATCGTCATGCCAAAGCTGAGTTTCACTGCAAACTGAAGTCACTTGAATTTAAAAGACAATACCTTTGATATTATGGGAATCCTGGGATTGGCTTGCTTTTTACCTACTCCATTTAACATGGTTGACTTTATAATATGGAGAAGTTGCTTGATAGCTAGGTAACTTTTGCTGTACAACTTGAGAGATTTGGAACTCTTGTGAAACATGGTGGGCATCACAACTTTTCATTGAAACCTGTGGAAAGAAACACAAATAACCAATGAATTGAATTTAAATTTAATCCATGGTTATAGTCACTTTACACTGATGGCCTTGAGAAGGACATAAATCCAATTCTCCCTGACAAATATCTTAATACATGATAGCTGATGGAAAAGAGAGTTGATGATTAACACATGTTTTTACCCCTAGAATCAACCTTGACAGAGGTTCAATAATTATTATTCACTTAAATCAAGAGCAGAGATTACAAGGAGGCTTTTTCATTAGTTTTAACCAAAAGCTAATGTTAAATTTAATTTTAAAATATAGAAATCTAAAAAAGAAGAAAAAGATTAAGTCTCTTTTTTCTCAACAATTAGAAATTCAATTTACTTTGTTAGTAAAATTTTAACAGTAATTTGATTTTGGAGAATCAAAATGTTTCAACCTTTTTCTTGAATAGTAAGTTTTGTCTATTTTCTTAGTTGTGTGCTAGTAAATGGCTAACAAACACCCATGACAGTAGATTGATGGTCTTGAGCATAATTTTCACATTGCCTAACTATTCTGTAAATATCACTTTGTTAGACAAAGCTAATCTCATCCAATAAACCATTCAATATTAATTTTCCTGAGTCAATATTCTACTGGACTTACAAATAATTTTACATAATACACACTTTTACCAAAAGAAACTATTACAAACTAAGCTATTTTATGCTTGTAACATTTTAATTTTTCTCTTTTGTGAGCCAAATTTCAGTTCATGTAGTAACTACTAGCAAAATACAACTGCAGTATTCTTTGTATCCTTTTCTTTAGTGAAAACATCAATTTATATTTTAAAGACTAAGGAAGAAGCATCTTTATTATGCCAAAATGAACAATTAAATTATGAAAATATATAAGCAATTTCTTTTGAATTACTTATTTTTGATTCAGTTTATTTAGTTTTTAAATATAAAATATATCAACATTATAAATAACATAAATGTGTCCTGTATAAAAACATTTTTCTCTATTGCTGGATTTTATATGAAAGGGAAGACTTTCAGGTTAAATTTTAAAATTCTAAAAACTATAACAGTGCATTCATGCATGTTTTTAAAATAACTATCACAATGGAATGCAAATTTTATTGCAGTTACAATAAATTTATCTTTGTAATTTATCTCTAAAGATGATCTTGGAAAGGGTGGAAAGTACTTGGGTTAAAAAAAATTACGGTGTCATCCTTGATGAATTTCATCTTAACATCAAGAAACTGATTAAACAACAGGAAAGTATCAGTATAAAAATAAGTAGACACAATATGTCTATATTATTCAATGAAACATATTTGAATGAAGATATATATATATATATATATATATATATATATATATATATATATTCATTCAAAACATGTTTCACTAAATAATATAGACATACTATGAAGATATGCTGACTATATATATATATATATATATAGGCAGCTTAGACCAGCTATAACCAGCTTGGACAAGCTATGACCAGCAGCTTGAGTGAAGACACGTGTCCCCACATTAGAAAACAGTGAAGAGTAAAGTAAATCAACCAGCTTAGACAAGCTATGACCAGTGGCCTGAGTGAAGACACTCGGATCTCTACGTTAAAAACCGACTTGGTGTCACAACCTGACTCCATGGGGAGTCAAAGGACAGAGTCACAAGTGAGAAAAATTATACAGACAGGTGCCCAGCTCTGGGGAACAACTGTCCGAGGCCATGCCCTCTCATTGCACCAGAGAGAGGAATCGGTGCTTGCACCAAGGCCAGCACAACCAAGTTGCGGGGGCTGCAGCCAATTTTTGTTCCTTGCCCTGGTGTATGTGCTCGGGTCTCCACCTTAAAAAACACCTTGTGTCACATTCATCTTAGTGGGAGGGACAGAGTAAATACCTAGTGTGTAAACTACTGTGTAGATTGTAACACATTATTTATCATCTCTCACTGCTTGGGCAGAGTGCACTCAAGGGCAACTCTGTCAAAGGACAGAGTCGCAACTGAAGAAAATCATACTAAGAGGTGCCCAGTCCTGGGGAATAGCTGATCAAGGCTGTGCCTCTCATTGCACCAGAGAGAGGGATTTGTGCTTGCCTGCACAACTGATGATTGCAGGGGCTGCGAGCAATTTTTGTTTCTAGCCTGGGTGTACTCTTTGGCTCCCCACATTAAACCGACCTCATGTCAGGTTTACTAAATACAAACTACTCTTGAGTAGTTTGTACACATTGATACTTACCGGGTGCAGGTATCCGTCCCAGCGCTAGTAGTATCACAGCTGGACTGACTCTGGCCAGCTTGGACCTGCTAAGACCAGCTCTGACCAGTTTGGACAACCTATGAACAGTGGCCCGAGTAAAGGCACTTGGGTCCCCACGTTAAAAACCGACCTTGTGTCACAACCTGGCTCAGTGGAGGGGTCAAGTAAATACACTACTCTTGAGTAGCTTGTAACATGTTTATTTATTATGTCTCAGTTGCAGTGATCAATTTTGAGTTCTTCCATAGTTTGTTGATGCCTATCGCATCAACTCCTCCCTAGCTATTGTGATGATGGCCAAACCAAGAGTCCTCCACAGGAGCTAGCTTAATGCTGCCTAATAGGGTGCCTTTTAAGCTAGTTTATAATAAAATGTGCACTGCAATTTTGGATACAAAAGGAAAATAAGTGTTACTCCACTCGAACCATGAAAGCAATGACAATGGCTAGTATAATGTATTAATACATGTTTTTAACCTCACATAATCTGGCAACCCTGAATGTGAACTCAACAAAAAATCATTCCCTGCACCTAACTTTTCTAGAGCTTTTGAATGATGAGGTATGAATCATTGAAATTGGACCAATGCGAGCAGAGGAGTTGCTTGGACACATACACTGTACTTTATATAAAACGATGTAATTAAAGAGAATTTCCGATTTGTAATAATATTACAAATATACAGAAAGATGATAGCTCTTATTCATATAATAATTTATAAAAATTCAAATGTCAATTATAAAAACGAACACTACTTCATTTTTATAATTGACATCTGCTTAAATAAATTTCAAGAAAATAATTATTATTCTAACTAAAGATAACAGAAATCAATCCATTTACAAGTGAAATAGAATGATAAAACTATTTTTTTCTCATAATAAATCTTAATAGAGTACGATCTTTTTGTCTATATTTCTGAAATGAGGTATTGTGATTATTTGTGCTATTTAAATTGTTCAAACAGTTGTCCTCATCTTTGTTGCCATATTCACAATGTTTCGGTCATTGTATGCTCCGGTGGACAAAAAGGGTTTAGTTTGAAATTCCAATCACCTGAAGAAGGCTGGCGTGTACAATGGCTGAAATGTGAATATGGCAACAAAGATGAGGACAACAGTCCAATCAATGTAAATAATGTAAATATTGTCTTTTGTTCAAAAGCAGAAAATTCTCCAAGGAACAATTTAAGAATGTAACTTCAGCAGTTATATCAAGTACCCCAATTAAAATATCTGAAACACAAAGATGAAACACAAATTCATATATACACACATTTATATATAAACTTGTTTTTTATTATTATTTATTATTCAATCTTTTCTTATACAGGAAGAACAAGTCATAAACACAACAGAAGCTAAAGAATTTCATGTACAATTGAGCTTTGTTTAATATAATAATAATAATATAAACACACATGCCTTCACCTAAAAATAAAAATCATATTTCATTTGATCAAGTTTTCTTTTCTCTCTTCATAAAATAAAATGGAAAAAAATCCTGTATCACCTATAAACAGGATTAATAGTGATAAAATGTTATTTACTAAAAATAAAAGCACAAAATGAAATTTTTTAAAAAGTGATATTATTTTAATCTAAAATTATGAAGCAGGGTAATATCTCACTGCTTTCCCTTAAAATATCACTCCATCTAAATTTGGAGATTTCATGAATATGACCCAAATGTCAAATGGAAAAATTATATCAGTCCTACAGAGGCTGTCATGATAATATTTAATTATTTTCTATTTGAAAAGATCAT